GGTTCGCAGCCGAGTGCGAAGCGGTGGGGATGAGGATTAGCACCTCAAAGTCCGAGACCATGGTTCTCAGCCGGAAATGGGTGGATTGCCCTCATCAATCAGGTCAGGGAAGAGGTGCTGCCTCAAGTGGAGGAGTTCAAGTATCTCGGGGTCTTGTTCATGAGTGAGGGTAGGCGAGATAGGGAGCTGAACAGACGAATCGGAGCGGCGTCTACAGTTTTGCAGGCGCTTAACCGGTTCATCGTGGCTAAGAAAGAACTGAGCCGGAAAGCAACCTCTCGATCTATTGGTCCATCTTCATCCCTACCCTCACCTATGGTCATGAGCTATGGGTAATAACTGAAAGAATGAGATCGCGAATAGAGGCGGCCGAAATGAGGTTTCTCCGCAGGGTATCTGGGCTCTCCCTTGAGAAGTTCGGATATCCGGGAGGGTCTCAGAGTAGAACCACTGCTCCTCCACGTCAAAAGGAGCCAGTTGAGGTGGTTTGGACATCTAGTGCGGATGCCTCCTGGGCGGCTACCCGGAGAGGTTTTCCGTGCATGTCCTACAGGGGGGAGGCCCCGGGGCAGGCCCAGGACTCGCTGGAGGGAATATATCTCTCAGCTGGCCTGGGAACACCTTAGCGTCCTCCCTGAGGAGCTGGTAGAGGTAGCTGGGGAGAGGGAGGTCTGGGTATCTCTCCTGAAGCTGCTACCCCCGTGACCCGTGTTATGTGCCATAAGTTTCCAGGGGAAGCCTCCAGATTCTCCGGACATCCCTCCCTTGTCGTCATTCGCCGGCTGCATCTTGGCTCCGCCTTGCTGACCAGACCCCGCACACAGCTCCTCCGATACGCCACGCGTCAGTTCCTGTTCCTCAGGAGAAAAGGAGCTCTGCTCATTTTTGGATTTGTGATTTGGATTGTTATTGGCTGACTCTTACCGTGTATGACTGTTTTTGTTTCTGGTTTCCGACTTTCGCTTCGCCCCCTTTCTGGTACTGTTCCTTTGCTTTGATTTCTTTGCTGGTTTCTTTGATCTTTCACCCGACTCCTGACTATTCTCTTTGCTCGCCCCTTTGGGACACTGTGTTTGGATTGCGTGATTGCTGTGTGTGTGTGTGTGTGTGTGTGTGTGCGCTTGGTGCGTACGGGGTGACTGCCTGTTTGTTTTTGCGCAACATGGTGTTTACTGTATGATTTGGATAGGGAGTCAGGTGTAGACCTTGTTTTTTTGTTGACTTATTTTCACTTAGGATTTAGCTTAGCTTGGGTTGTGTTTGTTAGTAAGTGCAACAAACAAAACCACATCTGTCTGTGAAGTGTCTGTGAATAAAATACAAAAAAATACAAAAAAAGATCCCTTTGTGTCCCGTGTTCCCTTTTCCTGGAAATTATAATGTAGTGTATGATTTATGCTGTGTAAATATATATTGTGATTTATAATGCTATACATAAAATTCTACTAGAAACAAATATGTCGTTTCAAGTTATATAA